TGCGCCCAATAAACTTAAAGTAATTCAAATGCTCTTCATTACATACACCAGAACAAGGATTAATTTGCAGTGTATAATTATCACTAAAAATAAAAAATCATGTTATTTTTGTTTTGAAGAGAGAGAGAGAGAGAGAGAGAGAGAGAGAGAGAGAGAGAGAGAAAGAGATCTCTTATATTACATATAAACATTAAAATAGAGTTTCTATACTCACGTTGCAGAATACTCAAAGAGTCCATAGTATGGATTAAACATTTCCTTAGACAATAAGAAGAACCATTCTCTTGCAAGGCCACCATAATCTAAGCCTACCTCTCCTTCAAATTCTACCCATAATTTCGTTTTTAGAATATCAACTCTGTTAACAGAGCTTATAATACGATATGAATCTTCCAAAATATTATTTCGGCCAACTTTTATCTCAAACTTATTAGGAACATTATTCTGCAATAAGATATACAGGTACAATATAACCATATTCATGTCAAAAGTTTAGATTTAATGAGTAGTGAACATATCTACATACAGGCTTTCTCAATTGTGATTTCAAATATTCATATTTACGCTTGTAATCTCTTGAATATGGTACAGCCTGAAAAAGGATAACAATTCACAATATGCTAAATTTATATATACATATCTATAGCTAAAAAACATATATATGTATATTATTTCTCTACATAAAAAGATTTATGTAATAAAATGTTTGTAATCATACCGGGCCAGCAATTTGAGGATTAGACATACGCGGATCTTCCCATTGTGTTGTTCGTGTATCTATAACACACAAAAAAGATGCATAAATACTATTCAGATGTAATATTATTATAATTTGAGTTTAAAATTTGAAATTATAGAAAATAATACACATACTATGGTCTATAAAGAAGATTCGTCCATCTGTATGTACTCTTTCCTCCCATCCTTCTGGAAGTGGTCCTAATTGATCTAAATCACTTCTTGATGTCGTTGATGGTGCAATATTATTAGGTATAGAGCTTGGTCTTCCCGTTCTGGGATCAATCCAGGTTGTCGCCCTCTCATTATGATCAATAAAAAATATTCTACCATTAGGTGCTACTTGCATGCCCCAACCAGGGGGCAATCCTTCGTCATTAGACACAGGAAGAGTAGGTTTGGGGCTATCAATCTAAAATTTTTGCGATAAAAGAAAAAATATTATATATAAAATATTAGATAATATAATATAATAAAATAAATGATATAATAAAATAAATAATTACGTACCTGCTCTGATGAACGTCTCGAACCAGCCGGACTGTCGATGTCATCAGTCTGTAAATGTAATATAAAAACATTTGTATATTACAATTCAATAAAAAAACAATACATAAATATAAAATGAGAATGATGTGTATTTATTAATAAGCTAGTGCACATATATAATTTCATTCAATTTTTATATTATAATTTCAAGAGAATATATTTTGAAATATAGAATTTCATTACTTGAGAACATATATATTTATATAATTTATTTATTTATGTAATTTATAATAAATATATAATAAGTAACAAAAGAAAAATTCATGCCAAATTTTAAAAACATATAAAAAAATTTTCGAAATAAAGTTCTAAACAAAGCATGCTATACTAATTAAATTATAAAGCAGTAATACAAAAATAAATTTAAGTTTCTTTTTATTAATACGCCAATAAATATTATATTACAAAAGAAAAAGAAAATCTAAATTTGTAAGTTCTACCTGATGCTATAATATTAAGTTATATATATGAATATTAAAATAAATAGTATAATAGCGCAATTACTACAACGCCAATTCCCATTAGCTCTTTGTCTTAGTTTATTTATTTGCATTAGCAATTTTTGGGAATTTGTTTCTATTAATGTTTATTTCTATGCTTTTGCACATCCTATTTAATAACATGTTTTTAATAAATTTAACTATAACAGTTATAACAGATATAAAGAAACTAAAATATATATGTGTAATTTTTGTAATTTATATGACTTAGCTTTATCAAAATTGAATACGTCAAATGGGATTGATGCATGAAATAAAACTTACATATGCTATTATTCACTTTACAGCAAGCACACACATATAAATATATATACGTATTAAGCGTTACATTCAACTAAAAATGAATATAACAACTTTATGTATATTAATACCTGTTCTTCAGATTCACTAAGGTAGCCACGTTGATCGACAGAACGTCCGGAGTCTGAAGAAGTATCCCCAATACCCCCTCCCCTATGATCCCCACCCTCACAATCTCTTGCTTCCGAATCTTCATCGTCCTCGCGTAGAACTTCACCATCCTTACACACACATGCACAAATTTCTACATACTGCATGCTAATCATACAAATTGTATGAATAGATGTACTAATGCCGAAATTTTAAATGTGTATACGTTTAAAAATATTGTTTAACCATTTAATAACATATTAAGAATAAGCTATTTGTGCTTTTCAATAAATGAATCTTATTAATGTTTAACACGCGCGCGCTAAATTGCTAATATTACCTCTACTAATTCAAAATATATTCCTATTTTTTATTACATTATTTGCTAAACACATTCTTATGTGGAGAAAAATATGCAATAACAAAAACCCATAAATAAATGTCAATAAAATTCTTGCGAACATTATAAAGAAACTTATAATAAAATAATTTCATAAAATTAACATAATATGCAATTAACATGTGCCTGTATTTTTATACAAATGCACCACTGAATCAATATATTTATATATAATTTTATAAATGATTTCATTACATATTAAGATTTTTGTGCGTGTGTGTGTATGAACACATGTATCTTACGTGAAATATAAATAAATAAAAAGGAAACATAATATCTGCTAGCATGGAGATTTGAAAGCAGAGAATATTATTACGCAACTTTGATTTTTTTTAATGCAGAAAGATATAATTATTTAGAAATATAATTAAAAGGCATCTTTTTATCTTTACTACATAAAGATAAACAAATTTAACAATTTTCTAAAACAAATAGAGATAAACAATATATAATGTCGGTTAACATTAAGCAATAACTCAATCTTAATTATTCAAAACAAAATATGATTATAAAGTGGATTTAACATTAATAACGCAACCTTTTCCTATATACATTTAAAAAATTAGTATAATTAATAAATATAAAACTTGTAGTATAATTTTATATTAAATATGTTGTTTATGTAAGGTATGTATGTTGCATTTATGCAAAAGTAGCAACTTAAAAAATTTTAATTAGAAACATTATTAAACTTACCTGATTTACTACAGAGTTCCTATGTCTACCTTCATCATCGGCACTAATATGAAATCGCCGTTGAAATTCAGTAGCTGCTGTATCCAAATTACGTTGTTCAACAATTCCACTCGTCGCTGTTGTATCTCTGTGTTACAATAAGATAACATTTTGAAATATAGATACTCGAATGAAATATAATTATCTAATAAACACTGTATCACATACGGTTCTGGTCGTTCCCATTGTGTGAAACGCGCTATATGATTAACATAGTATGTCCGGCCATTTGCGTCCTGTCTTTCTTCCCAGCCCGGTGGTAAAGGCCTATTGACTATCGTAATCTGCAAAAGTATTTTAAAATTTAAAACTTCGTAGAATTATGTAAAACTGCTTTATTCTTATTTTATAAGTACGAAAAAGATTGAACATTTGTTGTAAAAAATGTACATTTTAGTATAGAAAAATTATTATAACAACGATGGATTATATTATATTATGTACATACATCTGCACTTTGCTCTACTGGACTGTTATTCTCTGGCTGTACTAATTCCCATCCGCCTGAATCAGATACGTCTCCGTTGTCATTTTCAATACTAGTTGAGTCGGAAATGTATGCATGATACAGTTCCAATGTTCCCTTAACTCGTGACCGCTGACTGGAATGATTACTAGCCATATCCTCATAAGTTATTTATTTTGCATTTGCAAATAAAAAAGTACAAAGCACAAACAAATTTCAATAAAACAATATTAATATAAAATGTATATACAATTGGATATTTTTTTTTAATTATATAGTCAAATTCAAATTATATACATATTACTGCAAATTGAAATTAAAGCGACTAAAATTATAGTTGATAATTTATCTCTTGTGCTAATTGATTAAAAGTTAACATACCAAACTTATGTATCGCAACTAGATGTAAATAATGTAAATTAGATCAAGATGTGTAATATACAAAATTAAGTTGAAAAATATGTAGCATGAAGCAAAATCGTCAAAAAATACTTACCTACGTGGACGAAGTACATAATTCCTAGCAGGAATAGAGCGACCTTCTTGTTCCTTTGGTAAATTAATCAATGTTAACTCAACCATACCAAGAAAATCATCCCTTGTCAATCTATTTTCATCAAAAACTTGTAAAACCAATTTATGTTCTACTGGTTTAACCTGCCAAAAGGTAAGTCACGTTAATAATATATATTATAATAACATCAAAAATCTAGGAAAAAGTACTTTTTTCAAAAATTCTTCCTCTTCTTACTCCACTTACCCTAAATATAAACTCTTCTTCCCAGACAGGATTCAATGTTTTCTTCTTAGTTCTTGTAAGTGCAGAATCCACTGTCTGATCGCCATTTATTGTATTCAAGTCCACGCGTACATAGGGATCGCTTGCACCAAAAATATCTTTCTTAGCTAAGTGATGCCCAGCGATTACTTTTAGCCTCAACTTGCTCGTTTCGTCTCTCTAAATAAATAAATCATCTGGTATAATAATCAAATGTCAAAATTATGCTTCATTATTGACAAGTATTTTCAAGTTGGTATTGATGACTGATATAAATATATATGTTTATATCATTATATGAATACGATTATATATATAAATATATATATAAATTATATTATATACATAAATATATAATTTATAATATCATTAAATGTATAACAAATACTGAAACGTAATTAAAATCTACAATGTTTAATTAAAATCTACAATATTTGCACAACCATATTTCAATCACTAAATTATAAAAATACAAATTCCACTTTTATACAGATATATTACAGAAAAATTATCAAACGATCTCCCCGACAGATTATTATCATAATGGCAGACAAGCCTTTCTTGAATATTGCACTACGTTGCACAAGATATATCGCCAGTAATTACATCAAAGTTACGTCGAAAATGCTTCATTACAACAATAATGAATAGTAAAATATAGTAGCGATAATTAATGCGCCATTTGGAAAACACGTGCGAGCGACGTCGTTAAAATATTGCTACGTTGCAAGTATAATTTAGGATTAACATCGCGAACTGATATTTTTCTAGTAGAATTACGATTCCGTCATTGTCATCGCGATACAAGCTGTTGGTCGGAATGCACCATTTGTATATCGATGAAACCACTTCGTGGAAGGGAAAAAAAGGCCATGATAATAAACAGCCGTGCCCGAAAGTAACACTCGTTCGTTGGTTGCGCCTTTATCAGTCACTCCGAAACCCAACCTGTACTTGTCAAACTGTCAAAGTGGAGTTACGTACGGAATCGGCATCGACTCCGATCGTCGGATTGTAACCGTAAACATGTTCCTCTGCCATTAACGTTACGTTTGCTTAATTGGTACCTAATCGCCGACCGCTCTCTCTTACTATTTAACGGACCTCACAGTTTCTTGTGTGCCATCAAGAAACCTATTTTGTCCTAACCCCCCTCCGCGACCATTGCACGATCGAGACGGATGTGACATCCTCGTTTCCGGGTTCAAAGATGGCCAGCCGTCTTTTAAATATTCAAAATACAAATCCATTGCGCTCGCACTTCATATTTATATCTTGCGACATAAATATGAAGAATCTGCCCAAAATTTTTCTTAATTTATTTATTAAATCCTCACCATACAATTTTCTTTCTATGATAGAAATATTATTTATTCGTCAAGAAAAGCGGTGTAAAAACTATGAAAGTTTTACAAGAAAATTTATAAAACAAGATGCAAATTTTTTTAAATATATATCTAAATTATGTATATATATTTTGTTTACATATTAAATTAAAGTCTAATAAAATAAATTAATTTAATATTAATATATAT